GATGGGCTCTTCGCGCAAAATTGGCAAGCTGCTTCGAGGAAAAATTATAAGCAAGCACGTATAATATTATTACACGGCACGTGCACGTCGTACGTTAACGATGCCGAACGGGGGTCGTATTTAGTCACTGGGAGCCACCAGGACTGCATTTGCCTGGAGAGTTTGTTCAGATTAGCGACTTTTCCCATTTCAAGGGCGCTATACCGCCTCCCCTTTCCAGGTCGACCGGCGCGCAAAGCCGGTCGACCTGGAAAGGGAAGGCGTATTCCTGATAGTTGACCACAGGTGTCTACCCCACCACTTTCCACCCCTCCTCGACGCGACGTTCTGGGGGAGCTTGGTAAGTATGACTTTCTGGAAGAGTTTATTAAGATGACCTATCGGTTTAGCAACGAGACCGGAAGGGGTGGTACAGGAGGACAAAATTGGGAAGATCGTATTAGGTGACTGTTCTCCCCAACTTCAGGACGTGTTCTGACCACAATGTTGCTAATCCAGCATCACTCCCACAACCCCTTGCATGAAATAGAATGACTATTCAGTGTTTCCTGATATGAGCTAGACTTGTCTTTAAAACTGTAACTTACACAAACTGCATTAAACGTTGAAAGCAAACCTCTTGGAAGACGTCCACCATGACCCTTTGTTGCACTAGACCAACATGATTCTCAACAGTCAGAATCACTGGATATGGAGTGGTTTCAAATGCACAACGCTGTAACAACGAACTTGTACAGGTAACAGTAAATCGATGCTCGTCTATAATCTTAGTTCCACGACTGCATATTTTTTTCCTACTACAGCTCAAAGATGTTGAAGGGAGGGATCCACCTGAACAAATTCTTCGACACGCATCGATTGTTCAGATCATGCGTGTCGAAGAAAAAATTTGTTCGGGTAAAATGTTTGAAGCTTTTTACAGGTCAGATTATTGTACTTTGTGACCTCGCCTGAATCCTTGTGAAGAGGCCAAAATAGTCACAGTTTATCAGGTGCGTAAACTCGAACCATGGCGCTCGCCTTATAGTTTTGTTGGCGCCCGCGTTAGTTTTTGCTTAGTTTTGATGATGCCGCCAAAACTGCGTTTGCCCCTTATACAGCCATGTCTCTAGCACACCCTCCCGAACTGCAAGGTATTAAGTGTGTGCCTCACTTTTGAGCTCAAGCTGAGTCGGGAAAGTCCCACAAGACATTCCGAATTGGAACAGAATGATCAAAATGCCGGTTGAGTTCCACCCAGGAAGCTTACAAATATGGTAGATGGTCGACTGACTTTCAGGGAAAGAACTATTGTAGTATCATCATTTTAGTAATTCACACTGCTTGACAATATTCGCATGGATCAATTAACTTACCTTGATGGCTTCAAGCGCATTTCGTAGAGTAATTGGTTCAATGAGAGTCCGTTTGTGAGTGATGACAGGCTCTCCATGGTCACCGTCGAACAAATCTACTGAAATCATTAAAAATAGTTTACTCTCCCGTTAATACATTGAGAGCGCACGGGATCAAGGGAAAAATTTGGTCACGCCGTTACTGCCCTGAATGTGGAGATCGGGGAAGCAACTGAATGAAAATTAAGCGATGGCTCGATTCGAGATGGTCAGTTTTGCCGGAACCAGCGCATCTTTGACCACTGTGCTCAAGAATGGCACATAAACTAAGCTGACACTATGCCACAGGGAGAGCACCGACAGTGGGCACAGCCGGCGTAGTTTGCCGACGGTGGGTGGGCTTTTGGCTTTTTTGTTGCTTCACTAGTTCTGATTTGCAAGTCTCACTCTGGTGAAACCGAACTCTTGAACTCTTGTACATAAAACTGGAGCAAGCTCGTCAAGTCATCTTGGTAAAACCTGTCAAATCGAGAAGAGGCTTTCTAGATGGGTCGACACGTCGATGGTAACTTAGTGCAAAATGCCTCCCCCGTCGCCAAACAGCGCCGGCACGTCCTGCCGTTAGAGCAGAAATTCGCAAAACTACGTCCTCCCACCCCCGAGATTTCCCTATCCAACCCGGATCCTTCCATATTTCTCCCAAGTGCTACCACCTCTCCGAGGTTTTTTTGGAGACTATTTTTGTTTATTTTATTTTGTTGCTACTCTAACTTCACTTTTGTTCTTAAGAAAAAAGCGGTAGTCGAGTGAGGAAATGGCACATTCGAGAAAGGAAAAATTGAGAAAGGCAATGACGAAAACAGGCTTTTTTTTCTAGTGGCTACTACGACCTGCCACCTTCCATCGACTACGACTTCTTTCTCTAGGGGACCCCCACCAAGCGACCTGCCGTGGTAGTGGGCATCGTAGATGACATGACTTGAAATTTTGTCCATTTGTCCTTCGGCTCAAATGCATTGGCCACTTACCGATCAGTGATGTCACTGTATCGGCACTGACAAATTTTCAAACTTGAACTCCTATTGCGGTGAATGCTTCACGTACTTATGAACATACACTGGTGTGCAAAACTTAGGGACGAGATGGATAAAGTAACATAAAACACTAATGACTGGGTGGAAGTAAATGAAAGTGTGGGAGCATGTTGCCACTCGCCTAAGGGATATGCACAGGAAGCTAGACTTTTCTCGGTGGAAGAAGAGCTTGAATAAAGTGCCAAATATGGCCGACCGCGCAAATCGAGGCAGTCTATGGGTATGAAAAAATTTTTTTCTCAATCAACGAGTAGCTGCAAAGAACTGTGGTAGTATCCTTCGATACATCATGTCCCGAAGAGAGCATCTGGATGACCACTCGAGGAAGGATCATAGGGAAACTCGAAGAAGGTCGAACCATGACGAGTGTAGCCCAGGAGTTCGGTATCGCTCACAGCGTTGTTTCACGTGCATGGAGAGCGTTCCGAACCTTTGGTACTGCTGCCCGAAGACGAGGAGGTGGCCGACCAAGGACAACTACACCAAGGGACGACCGCTACATTGTGCAGCAGGCAAGAAGAGATCCTCGTCAGTCGGCTTCGGCTATTGCAACGACGTTTAACAGGACTCTAGGGCAAGCCATCTCACGCACTACAGTGGCAAGACGACTGCATGGTGGTGGTCTCTTCGCCCGACGACCGTTACGTTGTGTTCCTTTGACCCCCGCGCATCGGCGAGACCGTTTACGGTGGTGGCCAGGAGCATGGCGAATGGACCGATGAGGAATGGAGCCGTGTGCTCTTTTCGGATGAGAGCAGGTTCAGTCTGAGCAGTGATTCTGGACGCACCCTCATATGGCGAGAGGTGGGAACACGCAACTCCCCCGGAAACATTGTCGAACGTGATCGTACTGGTGGTCGAGGTGTTATGGTATGGGGAGGCATCATGTTGCATGGCCGTACTGACCTCCAGATTTTTGAGCATGGAACCCTCACCAGTCAGCGTTACTGCGACGAGGTTCTCCTACATCATGTCCGTCTTTTCAGAGCTGCAATCGGCCCTGACTTCATTTTCATGGATGACAATGCGCGACCGCATCGAACAGCACAGGTGGAGGAGCTTCTAGAACGAGAGGATATCCGGCGAATGGAGTGGCCCGCCCGTTCCCCCGACCTAAATCCCATCGAGCACGTGTGGGATGCACTGGGTAGACGCATTGCAGCACGACCAAATGCAATGACGATCCAGCAATTGTCAAATGCACTGATTGAGGAGTGGAATGCCCTGCCCCAGGAACTCATTACCAACCTCGTGGAGAGTATGGGATCGCGGTGCAGAGCATGTATTGCTGTCCGTGGTGATCACACACCCTATTAGGATCCGTGTAACTTCTTTTGTAGTACCAGGATAAATCGTGAAGACTTATGTGTAATCGACATGGTTGAATAAAAATGTCATAACAATTCGTCTTATTCCGAGTTTCTGTCAGTTGCTTTCTGTACAATATCGTTAAGGTTCTCTCTTGATATGATATGAATTTCATCGAGCTATGTTGTCTGGCAGAGGCACAGTGATCGAAAGTTGCTTTCGTCCCTAAGTTTTGCACACCAGTGTAGTAATAAATCGTGCACCCGTCCCAGTATTACTTTGGGTGTGTTGCTTAGCAATCTCGCCCCCCACCCCCCTTCTAGATAGAAAATCCGGTAACAATAACTAACGTTCGAGCAGTCGCGCTCCTCTCTTCAGAGCGTAGATATATCCCTCAATCGTAGCCTCGCCTTTCATCTGCAAACCGGACAGATAGGTGTTGTGACTTGAATTGCAGAAATAATGCGGAAGCGGTTGATCCATGTCTTGCCAGATCGCCTCGTGCCCTTCCTTGAGAATATTTCCCCATCGTGACTGCATAAGACGTCGAAATCCTTGAAAAAAATCTGTTTATTCGGACGAGTGCAACACTTGTAAACTTTGTCGTATCACATACACTACATGATTCGAATTTAAGAGTCTCAAAGACTAGAAATGAAACTCTTTCAACACAGGAATGGATGGAAATCTTCCGAAGTGTCATGTTTGAAAGAAACTCACCAATGATTCCCATTAGCTTATCTTTCTGTTGCTGCACCGCCTGCTCGAATGTTTCCAAAATTGACTCTGCCTTCTTGAGGTCCACATTATGAAACTGAAATCATATGCTTCAGAATCACTCTTCCAAAAACAGAAGATCAAAATTTGGGAGCCAGTATTATTGTCTGAGATTTGAGAACCATGCTCTTCACTCTATGAAGAATGGACCTTTCCATATGTGGGAAGCGGAGTGCAGTAGTACGTACGATACAGCGACTGCACGTTGGCTCAGGCGTTTTCAGCGTAATGATCGTTCCCTGACGGTCTTAAAAGGAAAAGGATGGTTGGAACACCATCGGTATTAGGTCATCTCATAAAAAAGGGCGGTTGTTTCATCAATAACAAAGAGGAATAACAGAGAAAGCGATATTTTGGCTCTGAGTTGAATAGATCTCTCCTATGACCTCGCTCCCAGTGCCCCGAAAGCCTTTGGACCTCTGGTACAAGTGCGAGTAAATTGCTGTTGATGCCAATTTCGGCGAATGACAAAACATTGTAGCGTTTGCCGTCGGAGAGTACCCTCGACTGACCAGAACAGTTGGAATCGAACGGCTTTATGTTGGGCGAATGAGGCGATTGAACCCAGGTCTCAGTATTGTTTGTGTCCCAGCACTGCCCTACAATACAGTTACTCGGGGTCTGGCACTATGACGAGCAACGGTGGCCTTCTTGTAGTTGTGTGGTACCATCCATTTGTCGATCTGATTGATATGGATGGTACCACACAACCACAAGCAGACCGAGAAACAGGCAATATACACCGACACGATTTGTTTCTCTGTATAGAGCCGCTTGAAAGCCACAGTGTGGGAATCCTTTGCTATGATGATCATCCACTTGCGCCCACGTAACTCTTCATGGTAGAACTCGGGCGGCTTCTCATCTGCATTCATACAAAATTGACGATTGTGAGTTTTGGCTCGAGGTCCAAGACCACCCATATTTCATCTAGGGCCGGGGTGCGTTTTCACAGTCGTGAATGACATCTCATGCTGAGAACATTACTGCTAGAGGCATAGAATCGGTACTGCGTTCGTGCTTCTACAAGAAAATTAGGTACCCATGCGCACACCCTCTTGACCATCCTCAGTTTATCGGACATAACTCGGGCAGCAGTTGCAGCAGGGATCAGTCTCGCGGGCAAGCTCGACAAAGGTCCAGGCTCTGTGATCAGACATTCAGCGCTTGACTTCATCCACCCTTTTTTCTTGTGCAGGATGAACATTATGGGACCATCCACGACAACAAATTTTTTCCTTTCTTCCTTCTTCGGGCTCCTGAACCAAACCTTCCACCTTGTATTCGAGAACACCATTACACACAACTACTGGTCCGGCGCAGGTCAAATTTGAGCAGCGCACTTTCCTCTTATGACGTCTGATTTGAAAATCCGGCGCTGATTTTCACCACTCGGGCTTCTTTTCAATTTCTCGAGAACTTCTTCTGTGGGTAGGTTCGCCAAATTTCACAGATACATAGCTAAAGGTACTAGCCTCCAAATGGTATAGTAGCCCGCTGCCCTATCCCCTTTGCTTTTCTGCCATTCCTCTATATGTCTCGGCACTTTTGAATGGGATGACCTAATAGAGAACCGAAAGTTGTTCAACGTCTCAGGAGGCAGGACAATCGGATAAACCCTTTCCATTTGCTTGGTTGATTCTATATTTCGGTGACGGAGATTCTAGCACAATTTGTGCTCTCTCTGGCTCTGCCATCCAGTCATTTGTAAGTATGTTGTTCGATAAAGGTTAATTACGAGGACTGACCTGTTATGTAATTGAAAATACTCAGTGACAATTATACAGCAGGATATCCCCTCCATCTTCCCCGGCCCAGTGGCAATTCTTTGGAGAAAAGAGAGAGAAGATACGAGAAAAAAAGTGGAGGAACTTTTCGCAAGGAGAACTTTTTAGAGCAAGGTGGTAGGGAGCTGGGAGAATGTATGTATCTGGTAGGTAGGAGTAGGATGTTGGATGAGATACGAAGCTATACCAAGAGGAAATTTTGATTTGGAGGGGGGCTCGCATTTTGCAAAACTTCTCCCCAATAGGACGCGCCCTGACAACAATACGTCAATTTGCAGAGTCGATATCTCGCTTTTAGACACAGGGTACAGCATCGTGATGTGTGAAATGGTAGTGTAGTTACGACCCCATGCCCTCCGACAGAGGGTGTCAGTACGACCCCCCCCCCCTCCCCAACACCTACCTACCAATTTCCCCACACTTTCGCGGCACGATTCGCTGCGAGTCCCGGCGTTTTGTCACGCCCAAATTTTTGGCGTGTGCGGAGCGGGGCGGGGGGGGGAAGGGGAGAGCGAGAATGGTGGGGCCGGTGACCCGGGTAAAGCCAAGTGCGAGAATGTGAGAAATGGAAAAATCTCCTGTGTGATGTTATCGGCGCATGTCATTTGGTAGAGCCCCGCGGCGGAAGCTTCCCTACAATTTGTACGCGGGGAATTTTCGCTGGAGGAATTTGTCGGGATACGGAAATAGCTGTGTGTTACTCCGAAAAATGTTTAAGACTGGTCGAGCGGGGGGGGGGAGGGGGGGGCAGGAAGGCTAGCAACCAGGAAAAAATTTTTCTAAAGCTAGCAAATTTGCTCTCAAACGCACAAACGCAACCAACGACCCCCCTCTTTCTTCCTAACGACATAATACTGGACGCCCCCCCCCAGCGGAAAAGTACGACCCCCATGCGTTTCATACAACGATGCTGTACCCTGTTCGAAAATGTCAGTTCATCTGAATCACTCTGTGTAGGCGTTTTGTCATAGACCCTTTCCCTACATATTTTTCAAAATAGACAATTTTCACTGCGCGCGCAGCAGTAAATTGAGAACGCTACCACAAAATGCTGGCAAACGACTGCCCTCAAAGAGACATTTCCTAAAAGTGCACTATAAAGAGTTCTATTAATAGCCCTGCAACGGAAAAAAAGAAAAGAGATAAAGGAAGGAAAAAGGGCAGCAGCACTCCAATGTTCGGCAACATTTTTTAGCTGCAACAATGGGTCCATTAAATATACGCTTTTGGAATCAATTATACAAAAAAATTGATGAAAATTAGCTCAGACCAAAGTTCCTGATTAGGGAGCTAGCGTAGATTTCAAGAAGGCAGTCGTGGTGAGCCGATGCGAGAGAGGTGTAGTAAAAAGACAGGAATAGTACGTGGGACGTTTTGGCTCAGACTTCGGCAATGCCGAATTTCACACAAAAAAACTTTTACTCGGTGACTGAGAGTTTTTGCGACATTTCCGTCGCGTTATCGGAAAAGCCGTAACATGGGCTGCGAAGAACCGCGTTGCAAGATGTGGAGGCACGACCGAGGGCCGGACGGAGCGATCTTGATCCTCACAGGGGGCAGTGTGTGCCTCGACGGGGTCATTACCGCGGGCTGAAGGGGGATGGGGAAACGAGGGGAGCGGTCGTACCGGGAGAGGGTCGCTAGTTGGTAAGCAATACATCTATCCGCAAACGGCAGAGAGTGAGTCTTGTTGGCACTTTGTTACGAGACGTTTTCAGCTACTGCCTATCAGATCATGCGCGACGAAGATGAAACAACTTAGTTACTAGTTAAGTGAGGAAATAAATAGACGATCGGAGGGGCGTGCGCTGCCTAAAAGTGATTTCGCTGAGGATTTGAGTCTATGTCTGGCCATGAAAACTGCGGGACAACGAGGGTTTAGTCCGCCTAATTTGGGGGAACTCACGGTCCGGAAATTTCTCATGAAATCACACGATATGTCTTTTTTCTTGGCCAGATCCTGGAGAAGTCGGCGTCGAATCTACTCAGGCTGGGTGGAATGTCTTTCAATCAAACCCCTCAGCACACTTTTCGTTAGTGTTTATTCCACAAAGTGAACGAGCGAATGCTGAATATCATTTTTATCGTAAAACCGGTATTTTTGTAATGTTCGAGAGTTGCCACCTGCATAATAAACGGTTCTGGCTAAGATCAGCAGTGGTTTTGCACTTCGCTGTAATATGAGCAAAATGTCGAATGGCCTGTCTGGCCCGAAATAAAGTGTGTCAGAACTCATGATTTCAGCAAGGAATTTCTCTCAAAAAAAATTGAAAGCCACTTCTAAATTAGTTTTTGGCGCCGTGTCAGTTGGAAAGAAGCAAGGTAACAGGTCCTGTCTGCAACTCCAAGAATCTGTACTGTATCAGGAAGAAATTCGGGCACTATTTACCCCGCTGTATCTGCACAGCCCTCGGAGTTCTGTCAGAACTTCAATTTGTCGGATATCTTGTCTCTAGGTAAGACCACAGCAATCGCTGTCGCTGCATCGAAACCGTCCGTGGCGCTGTGTGACAGAATCTGCATAGCGGCTTGGTCATTGAGGCAAAATGCAGCAATCTCCTTTGCCTAACAAGCTTCATGGTATGAAGCATTAATCCTGCGGCTGTAACGATCTCAGTATCACTAATTAAGTGATATCGCGCAGGTCAGTTGCGCTTGTTCAGGAGTGTGCGGACCGTGAGCCGCTCTCCGCAGTCGGTAATTTACCAATCGACGTAATGGTTCGTTAGCGATTCTCTCAGGAGATATAATAACCATGTTAGTAAAATCCATGGTCGGCTTCACCCACGGCACGGGAGCACAGCCTTTTGTACAGCTCGCCGCATTTGATATATGGGCGGCTTTGTCAGGAAGGTGCAGAACTGAAGATTAATGGATATATCCAACCGCATGTGGCCGCGTTGCACCTGGGTCTAATGGTAAGAGGCCAGCTAGAGGATCCCTAGCCATGTGTTACTCACGTCTTGTTCTTCGGTGAGGAATTTCTGGAGGTCAGCCACTGTCACTCCTTCCACTCCTTCACTGCTCGCCATTCGCAGCACGTGGTGCAGTTCGGGGCGTTCCGTGAGACAGTCGAAGAATCGAAGAAACTCATTCTCGTCTAGCACACCGTCACGAGTCGATTTTTCTTCAGCTTCCTGCAAAGAAGTATCAATGCGGACAGTGAGGTGATATCTCTTCAACCTACTGCCACCCTATTCTCCCATGAAAAAATAAATTCTAGCTCTACTCACCCTAAACATGGCTCTAGCGTACTTTTCGCTGATTTCCAGATTTAGTTTCTTGAGCAGAGACCAGACCTCGTTGAAAGAGAGTGTCCCTGAAGTCGGAACTTTACAGCTCGGCCCCAGACTTCACTCAATGAAAGCTACGAGATAATTGGTAACTTCGCTACCGTTTTTGTTGGTATCTGCTTCGCGGAACTTCTGAAGAATCCATTCCTGTTCGTTGAAATGAGCCCTTTGCTCCCTGACCTTTGAGATAAGGTACGAAATTGCAGAGACCCATCGATCACGGTCCTGCACAGAAGAAAATACGGCGCTGACGGAGCAAAAATGCAAAGCTGCAACGGAAACGCATTGAGCACACCTGCTTTTTATTGGCAGCAAAATCAATCGATTTGTGTAAAAACTTGGCATGAGTGAATATCACAGAAAAACAAGTGGATTCCTAAAAAATAAGAATTAGGGTACAAGAATCCATTAAAAGTGAACATTAAATAAAAGAAGGGAACCCATACCGGTGCTGCTTCCTGGAATTCGTATTTTTTCGCAGCTTTGTGAAGGTTGTCAGTGCTGTACCCAGATCGAACTTCAAGTATATCCGTTACAGGAACTAAAAATACCGTAGTTAGGGAGAAAACCCATGATTTCAGCTTTGCAAGCAGGAAAAAGCTCTCTCTAAGAGACTTCCCAGAAAATTATTAAAATGTCGTCAAGCATGGACCTGCATTTCACGTAGTGCGCACGCATCCTTGTAAGATAATGAATTTATCATGCACAAATGAAGCACCTACAGCAGCGCGGAGCGCACCCCAACGTATTGACTCAAGATGGGCACTTTCACGAAAAAATGAACTTCAGATGTCAAATGAAGCACCAACACCGAAATTAAAAAAAAGTGAAAATGCGTTATCCATCAAGTCCCGGTAACGTAGTGGATAACGCAACGGTTCGTAAGCGGAGATGAGGGTTCGAGTCCTGTCCGTGGTCTGACTTTGGCCCATAACTTAGCACTCTTGTGAT